GTCATATCTTGATATAAATTAGAATAAAATCCTTATTTTTATTGCTATTAGGTATGCGACGTCTTGTGGTAGAAAGTGAATTTTTTTTTTTATCCTGTTGTTTATTCAAAAGTAAAGAAAAGATAAAAAAAAATTTGCTTTGAGAAAATCGTCAGAAAGGGATAAGCACAGCCTCTTTATTTGTTTACATGATTTGATATACAGATTGATATTTAGTAGCTAACCCACGAAAATTTTTTCAAAACATGATTTTTAGCCAATTAAATTGAAAGATCAGGCGTAATGTAAAATCAAAACAATCAAATATACAAAAGCAAAACAATCAAATAAGTGAAAGAGTTAATACAATAAATATCATCTTAGGGTTAGGAATAAGGTCAAGGAATGGGCATAAGTTATACCAAAATTTCACAAGGAATTTTTTTTGTTAGAATATATAAAGCAGTTTTATAAATAAAATTTTGAATTATTGGTAATTTTTGTAAAAGGTGTAATTTTCATATTACACCTGATTCTTCAATCTAATTGGCTACAATCACGTGCCAGAAAAAATTTTGTGGGTGAGCTAGAAGGGTTTGCAAATCGGTATTACTTTGGGGTAGAGGTGGGATCTGTCTATTTGTTCAGATAAACTGGAGTTTATCCGTATCTGTTCATCTGTCTTTAACTAACTCTGGCAGATATTCAAATAAGCCAGATAAAATTAAAACAAAAAATTCGATAAAAAAATTGTTGGGAGTTTTAATTATAATTTTACAATAATATTAAATTTGAATATTCAAACTATAATATATATATTGGGCCAACAACTTATAGCAAATAAGAATTTTATTAATTCTTTTAACCTTTATGACCATGGCAGTATTTGCTTGCCTGTCACATAATTTCTGAAAACTAACCTAATAAATTTAATAATTGCATTTTGCAAAAAAAAAAACTAAAAATTTTTAAGCAATTTAGTTTTTTTTTTATTAACCGCATTCCAATTTTCATTTATCATTTTATTGACAACTACTGAAATTTCTTAGTAATTCATAACAAAATCTAAAAACAATAAGCATGAAATAAAATTAGAATGTGAGATACTTATAGCACTTTTAATATATAGTTTTGAACTTCATTACTTTAGAAATATGTTATAGTCTTGAACTTCATTACTTTGAAAATATATCACTGACTAAATTGTAATTTCTTTTTAAAAAAATAAGTTGTTCAAATACTTGCGGCTTAAGATTGGTATGTTTTGAAAACATGATATTTCCAGCATCTGAAAAGAGCTATTCACTAGGTATTGATGTTGCAGGGATAGAAAAATATTTGCGAGCAAGCTTGATAATTGTAGAAAATCTTTTCTGATTATTTTTCCACCAACTAAAAGTATTATGTGTTGGAAAAATTTCAGCTTGAGCAAGATAATCAGTTACTTCATCTATTTGAGGATGATATAGCTGAAATATTTGAGTAATAAGTGAGTTGTTACTTTTAGATATTTGTTAAATTTCTTCATAATTAGATTGTAGGTTTGCAACCATATCTCTTAATGGTTGATCTTTAGTATAAGTGGGCATATATAATTATTATATAATTATTATATAATTATAATATATAAAAAGTAATTATTTTAAACTAATTTAAGTAATTTTATAAATTGTTAAGGTTAGGTTAAGGTTAGAATTTAAATTAGCTCAAATTAGTTAAGTTTTATATATTATAATCTTGTAATAATTTATATATGCCCACCTATACTAAAGGAGATCCCTCTTAATATTTTTATTGTTTCTAACTTTTTATTTTTAAAAAACAAAGTTAAGAGATTTATACCAAGATCCAGCAATACTGCTATCATACCAACTTTGAAAGTAACAGAATAATAATGGTATAAGCTTTTATTTAAAGCAATTTTGATTTGCTTGATAAGCTCATTAAAATTTTGGGATGTATTGATTCAAATTTGTCGAGTTCTATTAGTTATCTCATCTATTTTCTCATCTGCATCTTCATAAATAATATCATCATCAAATGCAGTTGCATTTGATTCAAAGTCGATCATTACTGAATTATCATCATCATTTGATGCAAGATCAGAAGCTAAAATTGAAATAATATAAAACATAAAACTAATCATTGAATAATTGCTTCCTTCTAAAAATTTTGTCGCTTCAGTAAATGGTTTTAATATAGGGAGAAGATCTTTAATAGTATCCCATTTAGCAGTAGTTAAATTAATTTTTTTAAGGTGTCTTGCTTCCTATTTTGATTCATGATTAGTTTCTGTTTCAAGTATACTAATTATTACATTTATTGCAGATTGTAATTTTATTAATCTTTTCTATGCAAGATATGATAAATTTTATCAGGTTTTTGTATCAGTAATTAGCCATAAATAGTGATCTGTTTTGCACAAAATCTAAAAAAAATAATATGCAGCATTATAATTAATTAGCTAATTATATATATAGTCAATAAATAAAATAATAATAATTTTTTTTTAGTTGCTAAAATTTAGAAGTTAGTATTTTATACATAATATAAATAAAACACATCTGATCGTCAGACATATTTATTTTTAATTTAACCTGTTCCAATCTTTCACTCTGTTTTGGGCTTATAAAAAAATTAATCAGCCTTCTAGCTCGAGTAACAAGTATTTCACAAGGAATAAGTTCTTTTCCAACTACAAGCTGTAAAGTGTAAGCAGTACATAGTATTCGAGTTAATTCAGGTAAGAACTGTACTGCTTTGATCATGTTACTTCCATTATCAGTAGTAACACAAAAAATTTACTCATCTAAATTCCATTCATTAATAATATCATCTACTATATTTGCAATAGACAAACCCGTATGTGGATATGGTAAATATCTAAGAGCTAAAAGTAATTCATTTAATTTAAGATTTTTGTCCAAATATAAGCATGTAATTCTAATATATCCATTTTTTGATATGTCGTCCACAAATCAGTTGTTAATAAACTATAAAAAAGTGTCTCAGAAAGTTTATCCATAAACTGTTGCTTTGTGTATGTGAATGCTTGTGACAACAAAATCTTTATAGCTTTTTTGGATGGAAGTTTGCAATTAGGAATTGCTTTCTTCATTAATTCAATAAATCCATCATCTGCAATTACTGATAGAGGTTGTTGATCCTTACATATAAAGGATACAATCTTATTATTCAAAATTTGCTTACGAATTAAACTTACTATGTTTGTAATTAGACCGATGATAGACACCCCAACGGATCATGGTGAAATCGGATCTTCGTGAAATTTGGGGGTCTCAATTTGAAAATATAAGCCCTACCAAAATCCACCTATACTCTTTTGCCAATAACTCTA